ATAACACACGCGCGTGCGAAGTCTATCTGGAACACTTTTCAAGAAATGAGATCGCGGTTACAAAAAATCTTATTGTCAATTTTCCGTTAGGTGACCCATAGGATTTGGTAGCAAACTTTTGTACGCTGGAAACAAGCGACATGTATTGGCAGGATAAATTACAGAATTAATCATAGAAATTATGAATTTCATATTTTATTTTTATAAATTGATCACACGATGATACCGAATTCTGTCATCTGAGAATCTTCTGTGATTACAGTTTCTGTTTCACCGCATTATGAGGTGGTTTCTAATGGACACCCGCAACCCTTTTATTACCCCGTGACGAGCGTTCTATATACTCGGATATGCAAGTCCTTAGAAGCGCGCATGCACGAATTAGTAGGGACGATTAAGCAACTTCGTCCACCCTCGCATTACCTCGCGCAATCAGGAGATCGTAATCGCGGCGCGCGGCCACTTTGCGTCGGAAATCGAGGGTGGTCACTTATTGTGAGATCCGTCACGAAAGGACAATGCGGCCCTTTTCGTTCGTGACTGCGAAACGACTTTTTTCTTTCTCTCTCGCTCTCTCTTTCTTTTTCTTATCTATTTATCTGTCTATCTACGTCCATCTATCTATCTATTTATGCCTCCACTCGCTCTCCTCTTTCCGCCATCCTCTATGTCTGCCTCAGCTTTTGCGAAACAATTTTTTTTCAGAAAGCCTAAGTTTTTCATGAAATATTAGAACAAAACTTATAATTCTGTCTATATTCGTGATAGCTGCTCACTTGATTAATCTACTATACCTGTACTATTCTGTTAAACATAAATCATACGTTATTATACATGTCTAACATAGAATTAAAGGAATTTGTAATTGCCCACGAATAATTTAAAGCTCTGTCCATTGAATTAATAATGTGTTCACATATTTCATAAATTTATCGTATCTAATCGAAGCGGAACGTAAAAAAGCGAAACGAGCTTTTCATTCTAATTGTCAGTACGTGACGGTCATACTTAATCCCGGGAGAAATCGTGTGACACGTTGTACTTTTTTTTTTTCGTCCACCACGTTGCGTTACATCGATCGTATGAAAATTTTCATGCGGCTCTCCCGTCGTGATGTGTCGTCGACAATTTTTCATCGCGAAAATTAAACTGGCCATTAAAACAACTGTCTATATTTTTTCTTGCGCGCGTAGGTAACCAAGGACGTAGTAAGTATTGAGCGATCAACCGTTATTACTTGGAAATTATTCTCTTATACTTGCGTTCGAACTCGTTCCTGTCAATTAGTCACTCTGCTCGATGACTACCTTTTAACGGGATAAATATCGTGGAAATTTAAACTCGTTACTTCCCCTTATCAAAAATCAATATATTTTTATCACCGCGTTCGAATAAATGAAAATCGAACAATTACGAAAACATTTCTTCTTTGATTTCGTGAAATAATTTTTTTTTTAGTATTATAAAATTTAGTATTATAAATCATTTTGATGAACGAAGAGCTTGCTTCTCTTCGCAGTTGTGTGAAATGATTATTTTGCTCGTATAAACAAAACTGTCTATACCTAATTCGACCAGATTCTCCTGTAGACGTTTGTCGATCGTACGAAGTGCAATTGGAATTGGAAGATGCATTCGGTCAGTCGTGGAAACGTGTACATACACGCGGTCGCAAGACTATACATACGTAAACGAATAAAAGAGAAGGGGGCGAAATAAAAACACGCAGAGTCGGAAAAGTGGGGTTGAGGACACGCGAGCTATCCATAATGCACAGACCGCGGCGAAGATGCGTTAGCAAGATAAATTCAATAGAAAATGGAGGGACGAAAAAAGATCGCGCAATAGCAAATAAGGTGATTTTGTGAATTTATTTATCTGTCCAAGGTCTGCGTCTCGCGATTCTTATTGTTAGTATGCAGATTCGATGCTGGCACGCTGCGTTGCATCTATGCAATTCTCTAATGAGGTACTTTACACTTCGCTTGGAAATGTATATTCAAGAACACTTCTATAATTGGCAATTAATTTACAAGCTCAAAGTCCATTACACGTTAACAAATGAATTCTTACTGTCATTTACAAGGATAATAGATATTATTTCTGACGTATCACAATTTTTGTGTCTGTGCATATAAATGAAGGATTGAAAATTGCCACTGAGCAGCACAATAACTATTCTAATTTACTTGTCAGTTTATTTAATACCGAAGGCAGACAGGAATATTTAGACGTGGAAATAAACGTGATTCTAAATATCCTATTAATTTCCATAAACTTGGCGCGGAGTTCCCGCCGGCGGAAGTTGTCAGAACTCAGGAATTGGTTTCGAGTGCTCCGAGAAAGCATCTGGCGGCCATCTGGTAACAAGCCAAGTGTAATATTTTTATGATGATCGCCGATAAACTAATCTTTCGGTGGATCGATTCAATGAGAAAAAAGGAGTACGCCAGGTGATCTCGTGTCACGTAATCAAACGTGTCAGAATCAAACGTGACAGAATAAAACTTCTGTACAATCTCCGATTGTTTATTCTGGTTAACATATTCACGGTTCTCCCTATCCGTTTCAATTGCATCTGTTCCATTTAGTTCTTCAATATTGTACATAAGATTCGATATAAATTAATGAATTATCAATTTCACAATTCCTCTATTATACATATATTATTAATCTATGCATCTACACGTGATTCTCATAATTAATTTGAATTGATACAGAAAGAATTTCAATCGCATCGAAATTTTGTATAAATTGTAATTTAGGTTCTCATTTTTTTAATTTACATTTAATCCTTAGCACGTAGTTTACATGGTGCTTTCATGAATATTCATTTACACAATTACGTGGACTAATATAGTACATACAAAATCAAGAATAGGAATAAACTGAAGAATAGGAAGTATGTATGTGTACGAGGATAGCTCGGTTAGAACGATTATTATTAATTTACATCGGTGTGCACCAATTCGCCGAAGTGAACGAACTTGTATCGTTCGAAGCCACAGGACAATATATTGATTTCCTTCGCGGACTGGACACTAGCCATTATCGATCCGTTAAAAAGTTCAGGGCTGTCTCCTGTGTCTGTATGTCCTTTAAAAACGCGATTTGCCACTCATCCATTTGTTGTATGAAAATTTTCCAGAGACAATTGGAATTACTATTTCGTAATCGTGTTATTAAATAAATAAGATATCGTTTATAAGCGCAAATAAAAGAACTTCAATTCATAGACGTGTTGCATAAAACTTTCACTTGAAAGTTAGCAACTTCCAATTTACAAGTATATTTTTGAATTTAATTACTATGATCTAACAATAAGTGAAAAGGAATATAAATAACGAATTAGGGTTAATTACATACAAGTAAAATTGCCCTATTATTGCCAACAGTTTGAGGAAGGATAATTGTTTTCGAGGGGTCATTGAATTGATCGAAAGAGCATAACGATAAATTGGAGAAGGCGCGAAGGAGAAGCGAGCCGGGTCGGCGGCGGCGCGGCGCGGCGCGGCGTGATTTTGCACGCGATGGTTTTGCGTTGAAGAAGAAAAAGAGGGGAAAGAGTTAGAGACAGAGGCACCGCCGTGGAACGAGTACCACGTTTCCATTTTATTTCTCCTTTTACTTTATTTTCTTCATTTTCTTTTCTTTGCGCCTGTGAACTTTAGATGATACTAACGTTGGTGTTAGGTATAATCGTGTGCCGTGTACTCGAGAAGTATCTTTATATTCGTGAAGTGACCTGAACACACCTAAAAAATATATACACACACACGTTTGACGTTGGTTTGTTGTTGTTTTGCCGACACTATGAGGATTTTAATTTGTTTTCTTTCTTTTTCTTTTTATTGGATTTGTTGCGCATTTTTTTGTCACGCCTTAGTGATACCACCATTGATACCATTTTCATAACGCGTCGCTTTCCGTCCACCTGTCCTTCTCCCCCCTCCCCCTCTGCCTTATCCTTTACACACGCGTCGAACAGTTTCTCACACACGAACGCGGAACACGCGCACATTAAATGTCCCGCTATCGAGCAATATATCGTTTCAATGGTACACGTAAACGTAACGTTCGAATGACGGTATGGAACGTGGATATTACTTCGATTTAGTTAAATCGCGGTGCGTAACGAAATTCGAATTATATTCAAATTTGCGGCTATCTAGTTTCCTTAATTACTATTTTTGTTATAACGTAGAGTGCAGACTCGGGTGCATAGTCTGCAACGTCGGTCCAAGTCCATTAGCGGTCGTCGTGTTATCTGTTCGGGAAAATTAGCGGTAAACGCTTTTCCAATAAACCGTTTATCTCAATTGAGGTACGGTCCGGGTACGCTCGTTCGCGCTTCAGATCGGCTGCACGCGGAGCATCGCTTGCGTGAAAACGTTTCGCAGCGTAGTGTATATGTATACATAGCTCGACACGCGTAAGAGAAAAGGATCCACACAACTGTCCTCCTTTCACTCTTTCCTCCAGTTTCTTAACTGCACAGGGAGAAATGTACTGTCGAAACTTCCGGTGACCATCGAGTCCCACCGATTATGTTCGAACGAGGTAAGAGATGAATTAAAAATCAGCAGACTCGATGGTGCACGGGTTGCTTCAAACAGCAAGTGTGATTACGTAGGACTAAATGATCTTGCTGGACCAAACTTGGAGAACGCGACATTAAACCTTTGCATTTCTGATTTAATCAAATGCAGCGAAGGAACGTTTGCAAACATTTTTGTTGAACTTTAAAATTAGTTATCAGAATTCGAGTTTGTAATCGCAGTACCTATAATATGATGTAAAAGTGATATAAAATATTTCCAAGAATTTTCACAGTGTAAATTAATTTACAACGATCTAATTCAATTATTTTTGTTAAATGTTGGTCCATCATGATCGCGCGGCGAGTATTCTTCGTATTAGATGTATTACGTGTATTTATTACTATATTATTTTCCGTAGACCGCGAAACCACGTAACCGTTGAAATGATTTTGGTTTCAGGGTGCCACCAGGTTACATGTACCAGTCGCCATACCTGGCGGCTGCGGCGCCAGGTGGTTTGGTAACGCTTCCGGCGACGCAATTGACCCATGCGGCGATGGCAGCCGCTTCCCAATTCTACGAGTATCAGAACGCTGCCGCTGCAGCCGCTACATATCCGGGAACGTCATACAACTTCACCGAGGCTTATCCTTATACCAGCGCGGCAGCGGCCGGTATGTGTTTGAAAACTGTCGAGAGCAAGGGCAGCAACGGGCTGATACACCACCACCAGCAGCACAACGGTAGCAACCCTGCGGTGCTGGCACATCAACGATTGGAGAAAGCTCTCCTGCCGCCGTATATGCCGTCCGTGCTACGTAGCAACGGTAGAAAATACTTAGAAAACGAAAAACCGAACGCAACAAACGTGTGGGAGCTGACGAGTGAATAAAATGGCTGAGAATGATAGGGAGGATGAACGGATATTAACGTTTGCGTCTTCTTATTTGATAGCGGAATTATGCTCCAACGAGGAATCTCTGCAGGATTCCCACAATTTCTTTAGACACATTCATCACCCGGAACTAATTTTTGACACTGATAGACAGTCCCTTTTCTATTCGTACATCAAGCATTTTTGTTTCGAAATCAAATTTTCCTACAGATATCTATTAAATATCTAAATATAAAAATACTTTATTATGCTTTTTCTTTGTCTAAGAAATTCATTCTTGAAGTGTTAAATTTAACATAGGAAAAATAGCTTTTTCAACGCATGTGCAATTTTTAAGCTGCTCACAGGCAATTGCATGTTTCACGAAGACAGCAGCATAATAGCGTAACGAGTTTTAGTCATACGATTAACAATACTTAAAGCTACTAAAAAGCTGCACGTATCAGTTGGTTTTGTGACATTTTACAAAATGTTTTTTACGACAACGGAATTATTTTATCAAGTTGTTTAATTAATTCATGGAGAACGTAGAGAATTAATTTTTCGACTTTAGACATTAAGAAGCTTATGCTTGTTTAGTGGGAATCTTGCCGAGAGAACGTCCTGCTCGTTTCAGTTGACGCTTATTCAAATTGATTTGTACTGTGATAAATTCATTTGTCGTGATTGTCAAGTGTTCGTTTCATAACTTTCGTGCTTACACAATTAGTTACGTCGGTTATATTGAAATCCTTTTCCATCCAGGAGAACTTTCTGCAATCTTCCTTTCCAATGTTTGAGTTAAACAATTTGTTGCCTGCAACAATATTTTCACGATCTTTGTAAAATACATTCTCAGAAATATGAACGCTGCTTGTGCGAAGGTTTCATTTTACGTTGGAATGTCTCTGCTATCGATACAATGGAGTAAAAATAAAAGTAGTAATAAAGATAAGCGGAAATACGACATTGCATGCTTACGCTGGCTTCGCATTCAACACGATCGAGATGAAAATTTTGTTAATCGGTCTGATGTGCTGTCTACGGTGGTGGTGGGAACAAACGTCACAGTGGGTGACAGTAGTAGTTATTAAGCTTTTACCAATGTCTTTGTAAGCGAAATCAAAAATTGATTAGTTAACAAACAATATATAAATTATATTTGTATCTACCAAACAGTAGTGAAGGTAATTCTGTTCCACTCTCAAGCAAATTACCTCTTGTACATAGATATTTGTCTATATTTCTACTACAATTAATTGTCGAAGGAATTACCTGCACTAAACTAATTAGGAAAAGGCACGAGGATTGAAGAGTTTCTTATTTTTCCAGCGAACGCGGCAGCAGCGAGCTACATGACACCGTATACATACGCGACGCTACCAGGTGCAGCTGCAGGATTGCCAGCAGCCGCGGCTGCAGCTGCAACCGCAGCGGGCGCGGCGTTCCCTGGACTACCATATCAAACAAACCCGCAAGAAGCAAGATTGCAATAGAAGCCGCTGCGTAAAAGGGAATTGAGTGCCGTCACCAATTGTTCCAAGCGGCATTAGAACACGCTATTCAGGAGAAAAAGAACTTGATCCTCGCCGCTACGTAAACATTTATTATAGTCTTCGGCTGTCGATCCGCCTCTTTCGTACATTATTCGGTGCTACGCAGCAGCACGATGCAGTCATTGTGTTTGAAGCCATTCGGAGGTATGCTCCGCGAGTTAATTTTGGAAACGGCGGAGGGATCGGAGGAGGCGAGAGGCGGGAAACCGGATGGACGCTGCCGAGATGCGACCTACGCTACCCCATTTTGGATCGACGGCTCCGCCACATTTCTTACTAATTTAACCTTTAATCTTCCGCGTATTCATCTTCCTTTACACGTTCTCCTTTATAGGGCCAAACTTGGCACGCTCGGCCAATGTACTTCTAGATACGAAACGGATACCTAAGTGTTTGTCGTTAGCGTTTACGATTATTTATAACCAAACGACACGGAATGTAATGTACGGGCAATAGAGGCTTTCAATAGACCTGCGGTCATTTTTAGAAACGTCGGATTCCTTGCACGTTCGACGATTCACGTCGATTCCCGTATCGATACGCTTGAAGATGAACGCAGTCAGCATGCGTTGAAATGGAATCGTAAGACTGGTCCGTATTCAGGATTGATATTGCTATTAATAATATTCCGATCTATGCACTGTTTATGACACAGCTCTTAATTATATTGGCAGTAGCCATATAATCCTGCAGTCTAGAAATACGATTTTCATGTTTCAAATGTCATTTCTGAATATTGATCGAAGGCTACTTGTTTAAATACGCAGTTACTGTTTTTATAATTATTTCGTTTATATTTTGCAATATTTTAATATTTCCTGTAAAAATATAAACGAATGATACCACCTACTATCCACGTAAATTGCAGAAATTCTTATTCCTCAAGTATGTGCAAAATACGATTTGCGACATGTAACTTCAGAATTTTCTATTGATTATTATAATCAAAGCATATCACTCCTAACTAACAATACTTAGGTTGTAATGAAACCGACGTTGCCTTAGAATCGCGAAACTGCGAGATTACCAAGTGTCTTAAGAATAATGTCTTTCGTGCGTGATTCATGAATGTTATTTAAATGAACTGATATCAATGTTTTGTAGTACGAATCCAATGAGGACCAAAGGACGAACGAATTGACGCTGCTGACTTTATTGATAATAAATACGATTCAATAATGATATTAAAACAAATATGTCAGCAAAATTTAAGCTATTCAACATTAGACGCACAGAGATGGTTAAAACTTGTAAATAACAATAATGAATCCTATTAAACATTATTATTCTTACTTTATATTTATTAATGTATAATAAGTAGGAGGAAATTGTATTTATACAATACTTACGTCCCTCGATTAATACCTTGTCTTGTTCTAAATACGGATCAATTTTTCATTTCATCGTTTAATGCCAACAGCCACTACTCGTTTTTTAATACGTTGCGAATCGCAAGGTGCAAAGGATTCGTTCGTCCAATCATAAAGTGATCCGGTGCCTTAATTAGCACGGTCGAGTAGTCTTAAATGGTTAGAAACTAGTCACTGATTCGTTAGCGCGAGCCTGTTCGCTAACGTATATACAGGGGTTGTAACTAAAAAAAGAAGACGAAGCGACAGAACAGTAAACAGTAAGAAAAAAAGAAAGAGGAAATAGAAGAGCTGTTAACTAAATAGCAAGAGATACGGAGGATAAGGGCTATGAAGAAGAGGCTGTCTAGTCCAAAACCCTTCGAAGCCTTAGATATGATTAAAAACTGAATGTCTTAGAATTTTAAGTAGTCGATACATTCGTATGACGATACGAAGAAGGAGGAAACCAAAAGTCTTTATAAAAAATTTAGGGAACGATATTGTTATGAAGGCTTAACGTTAGGTATTAGTTACAATAATCGTTCGATTAAGATAATAGGAGGATAAATTAATATACTTCGATATGGTTATTATTTTATTATTTTATATTATTATTATTATTATTATTATTATTATTAATTATAATTATTATTGCTATTAGTTATTGATAATATTATTGACATTATTAATTACTGTTCGTGTACTTAATGACAAAGCAAAGAGAACACGCGTTCGACCGAATTTAATTACCGCGAACCGATAGAAACAGTAAACGAAGAGAAGGACAGGAAATTATCTTTCTTCGCGATTGAAGAAAGAACTACAGCGTTAAACCGTGAGAAATACGTATTCCTCATCACGGGTACAATGATACCTATCGAAATATCCTACATTGACAATTAGGATCTACGGTTGTAATATATCGTCTGTTATCATTAATAATATTAATATTATACGCTCTATCAGTAGGTTAACGAAAAACAGGGCATGAGAAAAGAGGAAATAATATATTGTCTCTGAAAGGATACGAAGAGCGAATGCGTCTTGATCCTCTGATGGATCGTGACTATTGTTGTCTGTTGCTTTCGCACATCATACGAACTCTTCGCGAGAGACAAAATATGAAAGATTACCCGGAAAATCGAAACAAAAAAATGGAATAAAATCTTAATTTTCAGAAACTCATCATACTTTATTTATATCCCTTACATTGATACATGTGAACTTTTGATTACCTGTTACTTGCTAATATTCAAATGTATCATCTCAGTATACGTAAATAACTGTTCATCATACAATTTTGCATGTGTATGTGTATAGTACAGTACAGGAAATTGCAAAATACCATTTACACAATTATGTGTATTGTATGTTAAATATTGGGATTTTAATTCCTCCATCAATATGATCAATTTCTAGTTATATGGAAAGAACGAGGCGTATATTTGTTACCACATTTCGCCAACTGCCGCGCACGAGCCTCTTTTTTCCTGTTGCACAGCAGAGGCGACTGCGCCGCACCGATGGAAGTCAATCTCGTCGTTTTTCGTAGCTAAAGATAATCTTAATGGCCTTGTGGAATCGGACGACGCCGAGCGTCGTCGCAGCGGACTGCAAAAACGAGCAAAGGGGAAACCACCCTCGGTGTCAGGCGCGCGACGAACAAAAATAACTCGCTGTGTCTTTCGACAGAATGACTTTACACTTTGGCTCTCTTTCGCAAGTCTCCATGCCATTCTCCGTGATTATACCAAAATGCTATAAATCAAATTTACAAATGAACATTGCCTTCTCATTGTCTGGTAGCCCTAATTGAAGTGACATTAGTAATAATAGACTTTATACAAAATAAATTATTTGCAATGTCAACGTAGAAAATGAAATTGCTTTTATATTATAAAAATCATAATTTTTATTTCACGTTGACATTTCGTGTATCCTTGGACATTGAATGAATTTTTTATTATTTTTTTTTTTATAAATGTTTAGTAATGAATATTTCGTAATGCTACGAATTCAGAAAAGAGACACCCAAAACTTGTAATCTAACATTTTTACTTTCCACGATACGCATTGTATCATACTGTGATGAGGTTGATCAGGTGATAGTGCGATAGCCTGGACTGAAACCGAGCAACGACGGAAAATACCTACCTATAGAATCGATGCTGGCTGCGGTCATCGTGGGCGGACTGAAGATGATGAGATGTCAGCACCAGTGCTTCATTGATAACGCGTCCTCTGAATGACGCTCCGCTTATCATTCGTTTTGATAGAGGAATAGTAGGGGAGTATTGCCATTGACACAAAGAGCGAGGCTCGCTCAGACGCTCAGTAATCCCGCGATTATTCGCGTAAACTAGAGCGCTCGCAGCGCTTAGTAATTTTCTATTGAGTTTTTCTATAAGACGAGCGTAGGTCACGAGCGGAGGGAAGACTCGAGGATCGCGATTCAAAAAGGACTCGCGACCTGGAAGTCCTTCCTGTGATCCATGCGGAAGCACGTGGCCCAAGGTCAAGGTGAGACCAATAGAGTTCCTTGCGTGCCTTCTTCGCTTCCTCCGCCCCCGCGCTTTCTGCACTCCGCGGTTTGCAAACCGCTAATACCTATCTGCATCGCTTGTCTTTCTCGCAGAATTTCGTTAGGTATCATCCAATCATTTGACGTAACTGTGCGACATTAACATTCGTACACAGCAGCCAATTTGAATGCAACTTGCGGTTATCCAATATGTAATTTGTTAACTACATACGGCATACTCCCTTTTATCTGGTCTTGCTTTAACCGGTCAATGAGTGTCACAGAAACAGATTTTTCCACGACGATAACGGACCCCGACATAAGACAGCCATTAAATGTTATTTGACTTTATTATACATTAACCGGTTTATATATTATTTAGATAAACCGGTTTATCCAGCCGGGGATTCGATCTTACACCGGCTGATTAAGAAACTCTAATGTATTATATTCTTGTTTCAAAATGAATATAGATCATAATAAATAAATCAATTCTTATTTCTCTAAAATGTATCTTTGTCGTTTAATATATCTTAGAAGTACGTCCCCTTAATGGTAATGATTAATCAAATAAAGAACTTGGAGATTATGAGCAGTAATTGTTATGCGCCGCTTGGGTAATTGTTTACTCTTACTGTATTGTGTCTACAATGTTTTATCATGCATATGTGCCGTGCATAAAAACGTTTGATTTTGAAATGCAACTTCGCCTATGTATGTATGTTCAACGCCCGATGGGAAAAGACCGTGTAATTTTAGCAGACAAATTAAATTTCTTTTTTTTTTTACGTCCTATTTCGTATTTCTGTGTCCATTTGATTCCGTTTTATAACCACTGGCGAACGTTTGTACTCTGTTTGCTCGACCACGATTGGACTGTGGACTATTTTTCCAAAATCGTTTCCAATGAACTTTTTTACTATCACGTTGATCGCTCCCCTTTTCACTCGCGCATACATCTCTTGCAAACGTTTGGTCTTCGCGTGCTTTTTATACACGACGCACAGTGCAGTCAAAATGCAAAATTTTGAACAAAAATCTAGATTTTGTTATTAACGTCAATAATTCGCTATGTCTTAACAAGAAATGAATACATTTAATGGAAAATGAACAAATGCTTAAAAAAATCAATGAGTTTGTTCTAAAAAAACAAATATGTTTTACAGATTCTTCGAAATTCGATAACAACGTAAAGTAATCTAGATTATATAACTTAACAATAACAAACAAATAAAACATAATTGTCGTTCTCAAAATTCTGTGGAATGCTCTACGAAAATTCACTCGTATCTGACTTGTAGGACTACAACATTAATTCTTATTTCGTTAATTGTTTATCCCATCCCTTTTTTTAAAGACCAACTCTTGAAACCGCAATCAGACCATATCTTCAGCATCGTTATCACTCGCTTTTGTTTTTATCACACCATATGCTCTACACTTAATGTATTAATACATAACTTCACTTTTTCACGAAAAATGCATAAAAATAATTATTACATTATTATTGCATAATTGCATTATGCATAAACATTTTTAACACATGATTGTTGATAACAATTTTCATTTGAAAATCCGTGTTTTAGAAAGGAAATATATCTTTTATAGCAATATATTCAAGTACTGAATTTTGCCCCAAAATCCCGCACTGTGCGACGAAGGCGGAAGTAACAATCGGCTGGAACTCCGCATTAATGCAGTCTCCGAGCGACATAACGAAATCTATACCTAGTTAAATTGCAATTGCGCAATCATCCTCGATGCACACGGCGAGTACTATGGAAATCGTTGACAAATAATTCGTTTCACTCTGTTTAATAAAATGTAATGCTTACCATGCGATAATTGATGAGGAATTAGGCGAAGAAGCAAGCCGATCAGTATTACAAAAATCACTCCTTAATACAACACGTTAAAATATTTCGGAAATCACTAATATTATATTTCTGCTTTATATTATGTTCTTACTATTATTTCTCAAGTGGCGAGTCAGTTTCTTGCATAAAAGGAGCATCAATAACTGCAGCCGGTTTGCAGTTTGCCTTCTGCTTGTCAGGTGTGACTACAGTTCAAAATCGCTGCCAGACTCTGCTCTCCATTATATTAATTGTAATTTTTTCACTGTATCGATTCCTAAAACCTAATTTAGTGCATGCACATATCCATCCTGATCGCAGTTAAAAAAAATCGTGCGGGCGATTTAATAATCCGAGACTGTTTGTGATTACACGTGTACGCAGCACGCTAAGTGCAAAATCCGCGAGCCGTCACTGATGTTATGTAACAGAATGTTTATTGTGACTTTAAATGATTTGAAAGTATTTAATTAAAACCTCGCGAACAAAAGGGCAGTAATTCATATGACGTACGACTGGCAGGTAAAATGAATATGAGAAAAATTTAGAATATCGAGCTTTGAATAAATGTTTCAGTTGTAACTGAAGAATAATGGGAGCAAGTAAGTAATGAATGAATTGTAAAGCTTTCCGATGATAAAAGCACTTGAGTCGAGAAATGAAGATTTCTGAAGTGGCGATTTATTTTTAGTACACGTATCATTATTCTGTTATCACAATTAGATGACTTGACTCATTCTTGTCTGTAATAAAACAAAAAATTATTGCAAATTTTTTTATTTGGTTCATCGGTTCCTCCATGAATGTCAACGAATATGAAATAAATATTTATGTACGTGCATTTTAAAAGTTGTACAATTAATTGTAAGCACATTGGAGTTAAGGAAACGATAAGAAAGACTTACTACTTGTTATGGGATTATACAAATTTAAGTGCCAGATAACAGGATCGTTACTATTGTCTGTTGCGGACGAATTAATATGGTGATGATAATCGTGACCTCGATAGTTCGTTCTGTACACGTGGTGTATTAGCGTGTATTTAATATTCAATATCGCGACTGAATTAAAATGTACAATTTTTGTTGCTACTCTACCAATTTGTTTGATGACGTCTAATTTCCTCAGATAAGAAGAATTATCGACATTTTTAAATATATTATTTACTGCTCTTGTTGAATAACTATATCTGAAAGAAAATTAACATCTATCTTCTGCGATAATTATGCGTAAGCTTGTTGGAATAATAGTTCATTATGTCGATCACCCTCATTTAGTGATAGCAATTCAAACATCTCTTACTTAACATTAGGAGAAGAAAATCGCGATCAGTTTATACAAAAATAGGGTAGAAAGTGGATAATGTGTACATGAAACAGGAAGTCAAGACATATTTGGAAGATAACGTTTTTTAAATGGTGCACACGTGAATATTACAGTGAAGTCGGAGGGATGAGCAAAGGTTGTGGAATTTGTGGGATTTATCCCCGATGGCTGCGGAATCGTGCCACCCCGAGGAATTTCATCGCAGTGTACGGGCTCCTCGGCACCGTGCAGGCGATGGCCTTCATTTACATCGTTGTCACCCTCACGACTTTAGAGAAGAGATTCAAAATTCCCAGTCGTACAACTGGTAAGAACATTTAATTGTATCTACGCAATTACTATTTTAACAAAAAATCGTACTATAGAATTCCTAAATCAGCATTAATACATCCGTATGCTTATTATCATGTTCACGCATCGTAATGCTCATTTATGTAGAATAGAGAGATATGAAATAATCATATTTTCCAATAGTGACATAAATGATATAATAGCGAATTATTCGTAACGAGACGAATGTGTGGAATCTAAAGAATCTTCCAAGCTGTCGAGTGTTTCGCGGTTCTTATTTTCACCGTGATTTCTCTCGGCACTGTGATACCAGGTTACACGAGTCCAGTCGTATTAAACTTGCATTCGCACACGCGTATATGTAAGCATCCTATACACGTTTGGCCCCGAGGAAAGATAAATGCGCGCCTGTATGCGTTCGTCTAGTAGGTAAGTAGAGTGTCGCAATGATAGAAGTGAGAAATCTGTCGTTACAGACGTACGACCGCTTGACACGACCTGCGAAGAGGCAACGGAATACGTATTGTACATTATATCAGTTTATTGCTGGTCTTAACATTTCCCAAGGATGCATGCGCTTCCTGTTTTAACAGATAACGCACGCGTTGCGTTTGATGGAACGTGGTTAGTTTTGGAATTCGATTAATGCGATAAAAGTTGATAGCGCTAAATGATATATCTATTTGAATACTTAGTATCGTAAAATGCACTCAACGAGTATCTGCCATTCTTGCTCTTTTTCTCGTCATATTTTATCTGACTTGATATTTGTAGTTATAAAATTCAATTGATAAATCTGCTCTTGTTTCAACTCTCCATTAATTGAATCTACATAATTAACATATCTTCGTATATGATTGCAAAACATTCAACTGGATGAAGGTTAATTACGTATTACGACGACTGTGTGAGAATTCGATACTGGAACTGGAATCGTTACGCACACGAACGCGCGCGTTTTATCCGGTAACTTCGCGGTTTTACGAGGTCGCCGATGCGTTACGTTGGCTTGCGTTGTTAGGACGATTCTACCGATCGATATCTGAATTGGAATTGGAATTCAATAGCATTGTAAACGATAGTTTCCCAGTATATCGAGAATTCCTTGATTCTTAAATTTGTCAATGGCTCACAATTTTTTCATACTTAGATTTACAGCGTGAAATCAATATTGTTACGATTTTGATTAATCTCTCCGTTAAATATCAAACTTAATGTGACTTAAGAAAAAATTCACGGAATATTTATACATGCATTTCAGGATTAATTCTTTCCGGCAATGAGATCTCGCAAATCTTGTCCCTAATATTAACGTACTATGGTGGCTCGGGTCATCGTCCAAGGTGGATCGCTATCGGCGTTGGTCTCAGTGGCGTCTCGTGTCTAGTCCTCGCGCTTCCACATTTTTTGTACGGACCCGGACGAGACGCCTTATCACTGACGAAGGAATACCTCGACCAGACGTTGCTGAACGCAACCACCGTTCCCCAGGATTTGGCGATTTGTCCACGAGTCATCAAACCGGACCACTGCGACGACGAGATGCTGTTAGACGTCAGCGTTCTCCCACGACTCCTAGTATTTCTGTCCCAATTTATCCTCGGAATTGGCACCACTCTTTATTACGGTCTCGGCCAGACTTACCTGGACGATAACACAAAGAAAAAGAATACTCCTATGCTCCTAGGTAAACTAAACTGGCCAATTGTGTTATATAATTATGTTTCATTAATTATATTACTGGATACATGCAAAGATTGTTAAATTTGAATAATCAGGCTCAAAAACTGATAATCATTGCGATTATGTTTTTAGAGCATATTGTTTTCGTTTCGACTACGCAATATCGATTTGTCTCCTCTGTACTTATTTAAAATACGAGCAGATATTTTTCACTTTATCGGAAATCATTCTTGCTTAATCAACAGTATCTTGAAAGAGATTAAGACTGATTTTAATTGATCGCCAATTTTATGCGTCGAAATATCAAGCTATTGTCGAGATTATTATGAAATCAATCATGTTTGGACAAAGCAACACGCATTCCATTTGTTACTACACTTACAACTTATGTATTGGCTATACAGTCAATCCCAAAAGTTTATGTACCTTAGAAAAACGCATTTCCTATAATTAAAAAGAAATCAGACATCGGAAGAACAATGCTAATAATAAATAGCTACGTGCTAAAAAGTATAGAAGGAAATATCCAATTAAGTATTGACGCTGACGAAAATTTTTTTTTTTCAAAATTGCGAAAAATGCTTCAAATAAAAGTTGCTTTCCTTCTAATTTCGATATTTAACGAGTTACGTATGATTATTTGGCATTTTATTGATGTTGACAAAATCCGACCATCCCAGCGTCGAAACGGCGGACTTTTGGATAAAAATTTCGTTTTTCTTCAATAACTCCTAAACTCTTGGAGATACGAGAAAATTGCATAGAACCTTTCTTGTAGAGGATGACGANATCCTTAAGTGATGATATTGAGAATTATAAAATAAAACTTGACATTATTATACTATTTATTTTATTAAGACATGAAAATTAAAAGAAATCTTTAAATTTTTATTTAGGTTTCACTTTTGCACTAAGAACAGTAGGTCCAGCGATAGGGTTCTTGCTGGGTTATGCTTGTCTCAGTTTGTACATCGATCCCAGTCTGCATCCTGTGATTACGAAGAAGGATCCACGATGGTTGGGCGCGTGGTGGCTCGGTTGGATCATCCTAGGCGTATCTATGGGCATGTTTGCCATTCTGATGGCCACGTTTCCACGTAATCTCCCGGCAGCGAAAGATGTAACAAATGACACTGCCAAGAAAGAAAAGACCGAGGTAAATATATATTTAACGAATCTCTATGTATCTCATCATCTTTCATAATTTGATAATTATTGATCGATTTAATTTGTTATCCAGGATGGTAACATTCCTCTAAAACTGCAACTGACCGCACAGGAACAATATATGAGGCCGCTGGAACCAAGAAGGTCTCTAGAGATTGAATACATTCCAACCATACGCGAATTTCCAGCGACTATGAAAAGATTGTTAACGAATTGGCTGTTAACGTGCAACAATCTAAGCGCCGTGTTCTATATCTTAGGCGACGCGCCTTACTTCATCTTTCTGGCAAAATATCTTGAGGTCCAGTTCAGTACATCTGCTGCTAGTGGCACCGTGATTGCAGGTACGTTGGCAAATCATAGTTATAACAATTTATGAATTCGACTAACTGAAGTCATTATATGTTTTTGTATTCTCAGGCCCAGTATCACTCCTTGGTATGATATCAGCATTCCTGATTTCTGGTGTGATCATAAGCAAATTCAAGCCTGGTCCGAGACCGCTGCTAGCTTGGAACGTGTTTGTCGGCATTTGCTTCGTCGCCGGACAATTACTCTTCATATTCCTCGGCTGCTCCGATGATGTCGGCATTAAAGGTCTCAATATAGACACTATGCAGTGAGTACGTTTTCTCGCTTATTAAAAATCGTTTTCCAGTTTCTCAACGATAAACATAACATTGATAATATCAATTATTCATTTACTACAACTCGTAATATCTTGGCGTTAACACTCCGCTTCAATTATTAATTTTGCCAGTACAATACAAATGAAAATTGACTACTTGTTGCAGGATGAATCTGACGTTCAGTTGCAATGTCGACTGTAATTGCGACGGTATTAAATACTCGCCAGTTTGCCACGTGGCGTCGAAGACGACCTTTTTTTCCGCCTGCCACGCAGGGTGTCGGACAATAATTAACGACAAAGAGTTTGGAAACTGCAGCTGCATCCCCTTATCGGGCACTGAGAATAGTCACGATCAATGGAACGATTCGCACATGAATTTCGACACAGTCAGTGCTGGCCCTTGCACGAACGACTGCAGTCGTCCTCATCTGCTCTTCGTCGTGCTCTTTTGCCTCATACAAACTTTGGCGTGCTCCGGGAAAATCGGCAACGTCCTGGTTAATTACCGCAGCGTGGAAAAAAAAGATAAGAGCTTCGCGCAGGGTATCATGCTGATGACCATTTCCCTGTTTGCGTTAATACCGGCTCCAATTATGTACGGAGCCATTATTGACTCAACCTGCTTGATTTGGGAGGAGTCCTGCGGCTCCAGAGGGAACTGCTGGTTTCACCACGGAAGGAACTTCCGATATATGGTTAATATTTCGTCAGCAGGTAAGATTTTATTCACGATAAACAGACAATCTGTTATCGAAACATGCAGATAAATAAAGAATAAAATTAATATTTTCAATTGCAACGTATATTTAATATCAAAACGGTATACTTAATTAATCTAATTAGTATAAGTGTCAAATTATTGTCGTATTATAAGTACGTGTAGTAATGATCTTAACTGATGATGAATATATGAAAAATTTCAGTTTATCTTATCTCGACTTGATGATCTTTAAAATATTCTCGTGATATAAATTAAAAATTACAGACGATTTTACATTAATTGCAATGTCAGTAATATAACAGATATACGTTTTAAATAATAGTCCTGTTCTATTAAATTGAACTAAATAGACAAAGTTGTAATATATTTAGGATTGCTAAATGTACATACAAAACATTTGTGTATTTAAATAATCGCTTAAGCTACTACTTAACCACTGATTCACAGTTAATACAGCGTGACAATGTATTTTTCAGGATTCTCGATAATAGGCGTACTATTCGACGTAGCGGTCTGTTATCTTGGGAAAAATTTGGATTTATACGGCGCCCACGAAGCCGACAGACGTCGCGAGTTTGTTAAAGACGATGCCTCGTCGCCGGCCGCCGACGGCGAGACGAAGAAAGAAATGAACGGGAAAGTAAACTCATAACATCAAACAGTAATCCTTTCTGCCAATTGCATGTTACGATGCACCATATGAAATTCGAAATTTTATCCTCCAGTTTGGAACACTTTTCGCGATGTTACACATATCATGACTAATATCTGATTTCAACAGTGATGTTGAGGAGCAACGTTTTTAACGTGCCATCACATGCCCTGTCGAATAGTTAGTTAAGAAGTCGATTACAAGTTGAATCGAGAGTATTTTAATTAATATGTTACTACATATATTATACAGACTGCTGATATACTTGCACGATTGTACAACGCTATTTCTACCTTTATTTGTAAATAAAACACGTATTTTTATTAAATTATTCTTTTTCTCGTTCACTGTTTTTGCGCGATCGTAAAACGTTTTCTTGGAAGCGTGTATTAAAATGGATTTTCACGAAATCTATCGCAAACAAAGTATAATACGAGACAGAAGCGCGTTGGAGTCAGCTGAATGAAAGCAAGCAGATATGTACACTTTCATGTAAATTATATTTTCCTTTTTTAACAATAACACGTGCAATTTTTTTTAAATAGGTGAATCACAGTCTACTCCTAATAATAATTGGTTTCGCGTTGGAAAGAATAAGAAGAGCTAATCGATGAAAGCGTGCTTGAAATTTTGTTACGCGATAAACGAAGATTGTCGTATTCGGAGGGTCGGTCGGTCGGTTGGGTCGCGTCGCGTCGCGTCGGTCCCGTTTAAATCCCCCGCAAATAAGGAGTAATGCTCCCGGGAGGGAAGAAAGGGGTTCGTTGCACGAAACAAAAAGGAGGACGCGAAAGTATACTTAAATCGGGCCGATCGACGATTCCAGGTGGATTCGTCGTTCAACGGAGAGGAGAGAAGGAAAGAGATGGGAAAGTCTAAACTCTAAAGGCTTGTCTCCATCCGATGTTCCGAGGGCGGCCATGGCCGAGGGAAGGGGCACGAGGAGACTCTCCGCTAGTCAAAGGATTACAAACCCGCGGAGCACCGAAAGTAGAAAGGGAGTTTTTGTTTGAGAGCCTTTTAATTTTTAAGCCTGGCCGGGCCGAGTAGCTAGGAGGCCCAGGCCGCGTAATGAATTCCGCGACGTCTTCGTGACGTCAGGACGTCCCTATCGATCGCATCCTTATCTACGGTACTAGGAGGATGCGCTTCGGCATTACCAGCGGGATTAAGTGCCCTGCCTTATTCCTCCGTAAATAAAGAAAAATCACGGCTACGCCCGTCCTTTCTTTCTCAGTTCGCTTGTTCCTTTCGGAACTCGATCTAATTTCTCGTTCAAGGACTTCCTTGCTTCTCAGGATTGTTAGCTAAATTTACAAGCGCATTGACGAAGAAATGAAGTTTTTATCAAAATCAAATTTCGATTACTTACAATTCGACGAATGAAACGTTACCACACGTTTACAGTGTAATTAAAAATTTTACTTAAGTAACGTAAAAAACAACAAAGAATCGACAACACTGTCGATTTGGATAATAAACGACGTTTGGCCACTTGTCACCGATGTGATTGATACGATCGTCAACGATAAAACGATTGGCAGGAATTCGTACAGTTTTCCCGGTGCTGATTGTTCCAAGTAGTCGCGGAGTTATCGTGGCGAGCGCACGTGTAAATACGTATATACCGGCCGTCGTCTTGTCGAGAAGTTTTGTCGGTGTGTGTACACGGTGCATTGTGCATGACCCTGACCCATCTTTCATATAGACCTCATCAACGTCTTCTAAGTCGAGGTACAGTCCGATGTAGACTGACGTCGACGACTGTACATCGGAAAAGGATAGAGGTATGCGCACCGCGGCTGACCGGAAGCTACCGGTTTCAACCGTCTTCTTGCTACTTCCAACTCGCATTTCTTTCATAGTAATGACGAAAACGTTTTTTATTGATCTCCATAATAAATCTTATTCTTTGTTAATCTTATAAAGCTTTTGATTAATTGGTTAATTAACATAAGTTTGAAGGAAAATATTAAATTCAGATAAGTGCAACTGTGGTTTTACACGTGTAGCCCATGCTGTATATATATTTGTTTTGGAATTATTGTATCCGCGTTATCTTTTGGACACGAATAAGTGAACATTTCGGAGTGTCAGCATATAAATCGCATGCACAGCATGCGAAATCGAAGACTTAATGTATAACACAGTGCCGATGGAAACGAAGAGTATAAATACATCGCAGATATAATGAATATTCTTGATGTAGAATTGTTACACAATAGGATAACGTGTGAAATAGCGACATCATTTGAACGACTCTGTTATTCACATATGTTAAGCAGCATAAGAATATTTGAAATAATAATAATAGGAGGAAATTAATTCGTAATAAAAGTATCATAGAATTAATAAAATAATGCGAGTACTTGTTAGAGGGATTTGGAAAATTGCGCGAAACGTGTAAAATTGTAACGTCCAGAGAGTGTGACGGTTAAAAGGCCATTCGCCCTCGAGAAAAACGGCGATTAGCATTAACTGTGGGTAATAATAATGATTCTAATGCAGCTCGTCCGGCCTTGATTCTTCTATTCTACGAATGCTGCGTAATTTAGCGACGCAAGTGGGTTGTGTAGCGTTCAGCGCGTCTAACGAAATTTGTCAACCTATTAGACCGGCGTGCCGGTACCCTCCGGCTTCTTAATTTACCCGCACGACACAAACGCCTAAATTGTGACGCTGCCGCAACGTGATTAATTCCTTTCTCCTTACCACCCCACATCCTTGACGAAGAGTCTTTGAGTTTGATACATTCTCCACAAAATTCAATTGCCAGTGCCCTTCGTGATAGTCTGTACAATATTGAATTAAAAATTATGCATATTTTTGGAAGAAATGGTTCTCTCTTTAATAATATGAGTAAAATAAGTAATATGATCATAGAAACATTCTGATTAATTGAGAAATAAAATTGTTACTATAAATTAGCGTAATATCAGTGAATGATAAAAAGATTAGAACATGCTGTCATAAGGGTTCGTACAATATGTAATACGGATTTGTTTTCCGCATCTATCGTTAGAACCAGGGTATACGCAACTGAACAATTATCTCTAATTATGCCAATTAATTTGTTCCGAAATGTCTTATTAGAAAATTTAATCAGTGGGCTCGTCAAAATTGTTGAAACAGTGAATTACGTTTTTACGATCGTTTACCTTTCTTACCGCGGTGCCAGATACAAATAGACGTAATTAGAAGCTCCACGTGTGTGCCACACAGCAGTCTTATTTATCGGTAGTCATTGTCGTACGGCTTCGTCGTCAATTTCATATTCCAATAATTCGATCTGTGGTCCGTGAATTAATTATTCGTACATTAATAATTACAATTCTAAAGTGAGTTAAAAAATCGTTTAACAAAGTACTGTGTTATGGAATTATAAAATTGTGTTTATTTAAAAAAATCATTTTAATTACAGTTCTTTTTATATGTCAATGTTGAATGTGTATTTTGCGTTGCTTCCTTACACTCTTTTTCTGAGCATTTTATTGTACTGATCGCGTGACACGTGATTGCGATTCGTTCGTTAAGTGACACGAGATTTGTGTACTAATTTATTGCCGGTTACCTTATCGTGGGCGTAAATTTTCCCCGACGAGCGGGATATCTGACACATGTTTGAAAACAAACATTCGAACAACGTCAGATAGAAATCATTTCTTACAAGTCATCCCAAAATTCGTTAATAGCACTTTCATGACTTGTATCTCTGTTGGGATGACAGTGTCGCAATCCTCTTGCAATCAGAGAAGTAGATACTTATTTGAATCACCGCACAATCGATCATCGTGATATATTCAATGAACTTGCTCTAATCCATTTTGCTTAATCCATCGGTCGACAGTTGGCCACGTGTTAGGAAGTTAAGTAAAGATATATGCATCTATAGTGTTCGGGCACGATTAATTATCTCAGCGACGTGATAACAAGATTTGAATTAGTTTCGCAATATCTCTCATTTTTCTCCCGTTCAAGGTTCCCGAAACTGTTCAAATTAAACATTGTTAATTGCTTATTAAATAGAACAGAGTAGATCGCAAGCCCAGGAGCTCCTTTTCTGTGTAATCAATTACTATGGGAGTCTGAAATACCGTAAAACTACTCGTTGTCAGAATGCTAAAAAAAAAACAATCTAGTATAAAAAGAATATATCAAAAGATTATTGATAGGATTAAAAAGCTAATCACCATACATCGCTTATCGATCACTTAGAAAGAAATTTTACAAGCGTTTACTCGTGACTCAATATTAAGAGAAGAATTATTCTGAGCAAAAATTGACTAGCCAACATTTTTTATAATTGTTTTAATTAAGCTATAATATAACGAGCACGATAAATTGACAAGCATCTCGAGGTCGACGCGACAACGGCAAAACGTAGCAATGCAGCCCGTACCATTCTTCGACGGAAAATTAAATTTCAGCAATTAACCACCAGCTATTAGCGGTATAGCTGTTTGGTGTGCGCCATTAGCAATACGCGGGAATAGACGGAAGAGTTTACCAGCCGCGTTCGTGTGCGCGTGTGTGTACATCACGTCGGCTCTATTAAATCATAATGGGTTCACAATGTGAGCCTCTGCTCCCGGAGGTTGACTAGAAACGAGCATAGACACCATACCCAGAGCCCGAGACCTCGTCTATCTTGCTGATATCTGCATACCTCGTCCCGAATCCCGCATGTACGAATATCAATTATCAGCCAGATTACGAATTGGGTTAAAAAGTGACACTTTTCATCCTACCATTTATTGATTATAATCGAAGCGAATTCCTCTCAACGTACGTTTAGATTTAGTGTCAATTGTCGAAACTGACGTAGGCACCTCGTGTTATTTATATTTTCCTTATCATGGTTACCTGATTAGTTCCTGCAATTACTAGTCTTTGACGGTTTGTAGTCAGTAAGTAAGAATTAAAGTATGACTTATTTTAAATAAAGGTGTTATGTAGAACAGACTGTGAGCGAAAATGTTTTTTAATTTTCGTGAAGACATTATGAAATACCACTTGATTCTGATATAAATTCTACCTATACTGAGTTGGATTCAAGGCATCTTTACGACTACAGACAAGCTGCATTATCAACGTGTCACCGTAAATATAGATTATCAAAGATAGATCATTGAAAATGGTGTCGAACAACTACAAGTGAATGCGCTACGTCGAACAAAGAGGTATGATTAAACAAAGAAGGAAACGTGCGGACGGAGGCAGACCGGGAAGAAGTAGACAGAGACGGTAACAGCAGCCGCGGGGAAAGGAGGCACGAAGTGATTGCAAGAGAGGTAGAAAATGTGCCCGCTTGATAACAGCAACACGAACCGAAGTACCATAGATGCATCACAGTTCTCCGCGACGTGATCCTATCCTGTCCACCGTCCGCGATCGGTTTCTTCGGGGTCGCAAAGTGGGGATCCACAGGAGGAGCCGAATCGTATGGTCTCATCTGTGCCGCTCGTG